TTGTAGGCCATATATGTATAATATATATAGGAGCTTTTCGTTTAAGGTTATGCTTGATACGATTATAACATAGGGCTCAATATATTCCATGATAAGTGAAATGATTATCATTATTGTAATTATAGTAATAAGTGAATTAATATGAGTTGCTATTGATGACGTTACACCCTTTTCTGTAGATAAAATAATTTTGTAATCTGTATTTTTACGTTACATGCCTTTTTCGTTGTATGTAAATACCGTACGTATTTATTTGTAATAATAGACTTATATTTTTTAATTATTAGCAATTATTGTACATCATACACGAGATTGGAATTTTTATACGAAGATTAGATTATTAAATAGAAGGCATTTTTTGATGTATAAATCTAACCTTTGTACAATAATTTCTATTTGGTGTATGATATATAAGTACACTAATAATTGCTTATTGCAGTATAATTATTACATTATTATAACACTATGTTGCAAAGATTAAGCATCAGTCCCCTGGTATTTTGTATTGTTACAAAATGAAATTACTGAAATTATGGAATTAGAAATAATTAATAAGGATGATAATAATAATGACCAATATAGGCATACAGTTATGTATTTTGAAATATTATTCAGGTGAAAGAAATCGTTGATCATGGGATCAGAGTTCATTCACACCATATACGGAATGTCCAATTATCAATTGTGTTTCTTCATTTATGTGTGAATTTGAGAACTCCCTCTATCATCAGCTCGCGACAGATTTTTGTTGTACTGGAGCAATACTCGCTGTTGTTGGAATTCAATGGTTACGCTGTGAGAGATATTGCTCTGGAAAAGGACATTAATTAATCGCCGTTATGGAAGAATTAAACATACTTAGTAATGTATTGCGAAAGATAATTTCCATTTTATAGATTTCGGTTTTACTTAATGTGTAATTCTTTGGATATTTCAGCAGAAAGGAGTATTTCTGAAGGCTGTCTAAACAGCTTGCCGTATCGACGCGAACCCAAGCTGAACGACAGCTCGAGCGAGATAGCCCGAAACAGCCCTGGCCTGTGAAAATGGCGGCCACATTGTTGGTGATTGTGGTGTTTGTTTTGGAAATTCTCGCCGATTCTTGTGCAAATGCTGAAGGGTTAAACTGTCCCACAGTTTGTGAATGTCTTGGAACTTCTATAGATTGTAGCAGACGATCTCTCACACACATCCCAACTGATATTCCGGAATGGGTAACCGTGTTGTAAGTACCGTTTATTTGATATTTTCTGAATTGCTGTCACTGAACATACGCAGGCTAGGCCTAGGCCTGCACAGCAGATTAGTATTAAGAGTAGAAAGGACGCTTGTTGTTGATTCACGGCTTCTGTTACGTGACTGTTGTTGGGCTTAGCATACTTAGCTTTAAAGGAAACACTCCTGGGATTGATATTCATTTTTTCTGTTAATATATTGATTTTTTTTAAAAGTTTTTGCTAGTTAGCTCTTTTTGTCTGAAAATTAATTGGTCATACTTGCTGATTAATGGATTACTTCTGTGCTGAGTATGAGGGTGACAGATAGTTAATATAATATTAATAAGAACATGGCATGAATGATTTTGATGATGCTACTGTACATATACTGTATGTATGTACTGTCTGTAAGCCTACTGGAGGCTAAGCCTATTCTAGATTCCTAATTTTTTCCATAAGACTTAAGCAGACGGTTTATGGGCTAGAGATGTTAAGGGCACATAGAAAAAATAAAAAAATATTAGATTATCACTCTTGCCCACGTCAACAATCTTGGAAATATTAATGCGGGAATAGAAAATGTCCCAATAGTCCTACGTTTTGATCATTACAGTACATATTACATTTCCTATACCTGTTAATTGCATTAATATATTAAAATACTCGTTTGTAAGCAAAGTCCCACACTTGGTTTAGTATAGGCAGTTCAGTTTAGTTATATAGTCATAGTCATTTTGATGAGTACATTTGTATTTGCAGTTGTCTCAACACAATAAAAATAAAATGAACAATTTAGAGAAACATTTATTCCTTCATGTTCTTTAGAATACTGCAGATATTCATTTTGTTAGTGTTCTTATAAAGCAAACACAACCAAGCATTTTATGTAGGACACAAGCCTTTAATTTAACAACAGACAACACAATTATACAAAAATGAGTGGTTTTTATGTTGCATTTCCTTTTTCATGTATATTTTAATAAGTCATTTGTCAAAATTGTTTATTTTATTTATTTCATTTTTTGGTTTGAAGCACTGAGCTTTTACATTATGCATTACAGTAAGTCAGTAGGACCAGTGTTTTGTTTAACAAAAGAACTTTAAAATATAGATAAATAATGTTTTTTCAATCCCTGGACAAATTCTTCGCAACATCTGGCATATAGTCCCCATGCTGCGAACGTTTTTAAATATTTGTTTTATATTTTGTATTCTGAATTTTATCTTGGCATTAAAAAGTGTTAATCTGAATCTGTTTGAATGTACGTTGACATGCATTGCATATTAAAATAGAATTTGCAACATTTGATCAACAACGTAAACTATGTTGCATGTTGTTAGTAAGAGTATTTTATGCTCTGTCTAGATATATAGTGTAAAATATTAATGATATTTTATTGACATTTCACCTTTATATCAGTAGCTCCACGCAGAAGGTAGTACAAATGTGTACTTGCATACAATCCAACAAATCTTAAATAAAAATATAAGCAAACTAACTACAAACAGCTTTACTATTGAGGAGAAAAATTTAAAAAAATGTAATAAAATTAAATTGCCTTAAAATAAAACTTTACATACAAGTTACATATAAGGTAATTTGTCAAAAGGCCGAGATATGGAATAGAAGTATCATTTTCACCCTAAGTACAGTATGAAGTTCATATGTTGTGTTGTGTACTGTACACACACATAAAAAAAATTAATTTGCATGTTCAGATTTGAATTGCTTGGCTGTTGAGAAGTAATGTATCCCTATTATTGTATTACACAGGGAGACTTACTCAAGTCTGTAGAAATGAAATTAGCAAGGAGAGATTGGCACGCTGTAGTGGTAATAAAATTAATAGTGACATTTAGACGGCAGATTGGTTTAAGAAGTGTAGTGAAAAAACTGGGCAGGTGTAAGAGTTCACAGCTCGACTCTCCCTATGATATCCATGAGCTGACCCATAAACACAACAGAACCTTGAATTTAAAAAATGCGGCATCCTGCGGTGCGGTGGTTGAGAGGTTATCGGTATTCGCATGGAGTAAAACCCAAAATATAACTTTCGTTTCTTACAAAGAAGGTGCTGAATTATTTACAGAAAATTGAGAAATCCGTCAGTTGTGAATGTCTAGAGATGTGAAGATGGTGCAGGGACAGATTAGTGATAATATGCCTAGAGGCTATTCTCAACCTGCTAAAGTTTTTCGTATTAAGATAGACCAGCTGAGAAACATTTTCTTCCTTGTCTGCGTGGTAAAATAAAGTACACTAGATTCATATTGCTTAGTTTTTAATATTTTTAATGTACCTATGGCTTATTCCTTTGGTGATTATCTGATTTAATTACAGTTTTATAATGAACAGTGATTATCCGTTATTGTTACATTCTATCCATTTATGAAATGAAAATATTTTTCAGAAATGATGATTATATTTATTGAAAATTGATTTGATTTATTGAAAATAATGAAATTGAATTACAGTTAGATTATTTAAGCTTATATATGTGGGAGTCCTTTAAATTGGAAATTGTTTCTTGTTTTATAAAGGCAACTACGAACTTTGAGTAATAAATTGTATAGTGTTTTCATGTTTGATGCCTTTAACAGGAATCCAATGCAATAATAACACACTTTTGGTTCAATACGGAAAGTAGTGATACAACTAACCACTCCCATTTATCCACTTTTCATATATATTAGCATGCCCTACAGGAAAAGATCAAATCCCAGGAAACTTACCAGGGAGGGGGAATGGTTAGTCATATTGCGCATCAGAGAGCTCTACCGTAAATCCTTCTTCGGGAATAGGAATATCGTTGATTGTTCCGCCTGGTTGATTACAGGTCAAATATACTCATTCTGATAACCATCAACACATCCTGCGAATTTTTAAAAATATTTTGCAAATTTTGAATCAAGTTTGTAAGGTCATAAGCCCTTAAGGATGATACCTCTTCATTTGTAAATTATAATTATTCGAAAATGTTATCAGTTTTATCCTAAAATACACTGTCGTTATTAAATATATTGGCTGTATTGCTAATAATACCTCTACTTTTTGGCATGTGGGTCTTGCAGCTGTTTGCCACTAGGTGAATTTATTTGCGTGAATAGAAAGTATTGGTTTGCTTCCTGAGCTCTGATTGGTTGTGCATTTTTTTGCTTTGCAAAAAGTAGAAACAGTTCAAACTACTGATTTCGCTGAAGCGAAATGTGATTGCGCATGTGCATGAACCACTGCTTTTGATTTACGCGAATAAATTCGCCTAGTGCTAAACAACGATTGGCTGGTAATCAGCATTTTTGTAGCATTCCACCACCAGGAAAAAACTAAATTTTTTTTGGTTTGTCTCCTTATAAATGAATTCCATCTTTTAATTTAATTTGTTATTGTTTTATAGTTTGAACCATGACCTTCCTCTCATATTATATTCTTTGATTTCATAGATCTCAATCAACATAGACCGCACTGTCTATCATGTAAAGTTATTTATGATGTAAATATATAACCTTTGACCTTTATGAAATAAGGACAGTATTTTTTTTTAATAACTGTCTTCTCTCATGTTTAGAATCCTTGGCATAGATGATACATGTTGTTATCTGAAGTAGTAATCTAATTAATGTATGTTAATACCAATGTTTTGTTTTTCTTCACAGATCCTTACAGACTAACATGATTGATACGATACCTGAGGGCATATTTGACAACCTACCAGACCTCCAAGAATTGTAAGTTCTTTGATTAGTAATTACTTGGTTAATATTTATGAGTAGAGTTAACTACATGAACAAATCTGATGATATTTTTCATTATAAGCATCCAGAGAGAGTACTGTGCCAATTTAATTTCAACTTAGGCTATTTGGCATCTGTTAATCATAAATGTACTATAGACCTATATGGCTTAATAGTACCATCCACGTTTGCTCAAATGCAAATGCCGCGAAAAGTTTTAAGGGGTGCCACCACTGAAAAAAAAAATTAAGCTAATTTAAAGCAAAATTATCTTTATATTATTATTGTACGTACATTTGTAAGCTACCGCTCGATCACAAATTGTGCAGTTCTGCCTTAGGAAGCGCTACTAGTGTTATATTAGCGTGTAGATACGAGTATACTTTTCTGTTATCTGTTCATGGCAGCAAATTTTAACTAGATTTAATTTATTATTAAGATGCTTCAATTAAAAATTAATTTCAACAAATTATTGGAATTTTTTTTTTTTCCATATTAACCACCAATAATGTATATCAAGGACATAGCTGTGGCAGTATTTCCAACTTTCTTGAATACAAAATATGATTTAATTCATTATTTAGAACACTTGATTGTGTATGCTCCTAGACTATGCGCTATTGATACATAAAAAAGTAGAATTACGAAGGATTTTTTTAGTGTAGTATTTTATTTAATGTATAGTACAGTAGGTCTATTCACCTTGAGTTTGTATAAAAATAAAATAAATAATGAAGTAGAATTTTCAATAACAATGTTTGATTAATAGCAAATATTTAATTACAAGTGCAATTAATTTGAGTAAATTGCTAATTGTTTTTCAATTGTTCTAGTTTTGAAAGTATTCTTAATTTCTAAGTTCATATTTGTTTAAATCCAAATGCGTGTGGGTCATTGAAATTGTGTTTGTTCCAAAATTGATTGGACTAATTCGTGTGTGATCTTCAGAGGGGAAAACACATAGCAATAAAGAGTAATATTTGTACTTGAGAGGATGAGTAGTTGTTTAAATACAGATTAGGTCTAAGGAGTCCAGTGGTATACTGTCATTTACCACTTTAGTTCTTGATAGATAGAACTCTTATCAAGAACTGCAAAGTACTTTATCAGCGAATATGTCAGTTACTTCTTGCTGTTGCCATAAGGTTCAGCAATTAATAGGTTTTTCAACACTTTCGGTGTTAAAGGGTAGGCCAGTAATTTACGATAGGCCCTTCATTAATAAGGAGGGATAAGATCGATCTAAAGCTTGTGTCAGATAAGGCTCTTTTTTAGTTCCATAGTTACTCAAAATCTTCTATTTATACAATAAAGTGTTGTTTGTTGTGTTTTTCTTTATTAACCGAGTGGCTTGTGATGTGAATTTCTTAAATTTCTATTTCACCTTAAACTTATTTAAAAAAAAAAAGAAAATTTATGGATTTGCTGAAAGTTGATAGCTGACCAATTGTGAAACATCAGCAACAACAGTTGCATGAGAAGTGTTGCTATGGGAGGAGGGAGTGGGATAGCGTAAAGAAAAAGTGATAGGGACCAATTCCTGACAGTAGTAATGGAATTGCTATCACCTTAATTAAGAATGTGTTAATTAACTCTATAAGCACAGATGAAAGTTAATCAACTCCTAATTGCATTCCACATAAATATGCTTAAATTATGGGCAGTCTGGTGAACTAGTAAAACTGTTAGTAGATATTATTATTTATGTCAAGGTGTCAATGTAAATTTCACCATTGGAAAATGTTGAAGGTTCTATTTTATTAGATTGACATTTTCATTTAAAAAAATCATTTATATATATTTTCATAGTCTTTATTCAGATAAAAATATTGAAAATTACAAACAGACAGCCAAAAGGCTATATATGAATGTATTACAAAAATTGCTAAAAAGTTAAAAAACATCAAAATTCAAGAAATTCACAACACAAACATAAAAAAAAAACAGGGATAAAAAGTACAGCACCAGACATAAAACCAAATTAAAATGATAAAAATGAAAGATATAAAAAAGCCATATAAAAACACATTGAATATATTAGTCAATTAAAATTGAATAAAAGATTACAAACACAATTTACATAGACAGCCAAACCAATTAAAAAAAAAAGAAGGAAAAAACAAAAATTATGGGGGGACTGTGAGCCAGCCAAACACAAGAATTACCACATGGGGCAATAAGAAGGTCGATGCCAGTTACAATGAGTAAGCAGGCAAGATATTATATATATTTTTTCAATATAGAACTAACTGGAACCAAGCAAATTATCATAATGCTGTTAACATTGCTCCTCTTAGCAATGTTTTGTTCTTAAAAAATAATTGAAAAAAGGTATTAGCCCTGGGGGTATTGCTAAACCCCGCAAATAGGTTGTTATGAACATAAAATTATATTTTTATTTACTAAGATACCAAGTAGAGTCCTATACTACATGATTCAATCACTATCACAGGGTTCGGATAGGGTTTGCAGTGTTTTTTTTGGGGGGGAGGGGTGTTTTNNGGGGTGTTTTTTTGGGGGGGAGGGGGGTTTGCAGGGTTTAGCAATACCCAGCAGTAAGTGTTGGTGTTTTTCACAAACTATAATACTTCCATTTAGGCAGCCTTCTCATTACAACTATATTGATGGATTAAAGTTTCTTCTAGTAATTATATCCCCAGGGTAAATTTATATATTTGATAAGTGTGGTACAATACTGAAATGAATTATACACATAACCCAAAGTGCTCCTGGTTAGGCTCATTGATAAATTTTGCCATGGCAGAAAACTTTGCCATTTCGACATAAATCATACATTGGAATTCTGAATTCCTTGGTATTGAGTTTGGTGTCTGACTTTGTTATTACACATCCCGTGAAAAATTTACACCCTCTGATTGGGGCGAAGAAATGATATATTTACGATACTGTGATTCAAGCAGCTTAATTATGGCGACTGCATGTCTTGAGAAAGCCAAGTATTTAAACCACCGTATTTATATTATTTCAACTTGTGCCCAGTCTCCTCATTGATCATATTGGTATATTATTTTTAAGTGAGAAAAAAAAAGTGCTATGATTTCTTTTGGGTTGAATTTCTTTGTAGTTTGTAATCGGTCATTATATTGTATGTTTTGGGACATTCCAAGGGGTAGACTTTTTTTGCTATATCTAGCTTTAATCTTCAAATGCCTTTTCTTACACCCAATTAAAAAGAAATCTGATAAGAACCTGCATTCCTTTTCTCCCTACACAATTCAATCAATAAGTAGAAATTACTTAAAGTTCTACATAAAAAAATTCTGAGAATTCTTGTATTCATAAAAGTGTAAGGTAAAATTCATTTTTTTGATTTAAGGAACATAGAAACCTAGTTGAGTTGTTCTTATACAGTATGCTCTGAATAAGAAAACTAGTTTTAATCATATTGGTTTTAGTGCTAGTGCTAATAAGTAGATTGTTAAACTTATATACCCATTGTTGGTTTCTAATAATAAATCAACATTTCATGTACAATAGGAAGAGCTATAGTAATATTAAACTTTATGTATATTTTTTTATAAGAAATAAAAACCAGTAAAATATTGCTCAGGCTCATTGTTCTTATTTTTTCCAATTACAGGCTCAAAATTTATTATTTTATGTAATATTTTACATACTGTACTTTCCAAGACAGAAAATTATTGTATAGCAATATTTACAGTATTACATACAGTAGTCACACCAACTGCACATATGGTGGTACAGAAAACAAAAGAATTTTACAAATACAGTCTTTTTAAACATACTTTTAGGCCCAATAAAAAAATTATTAGTTTATCACCCTCACGTGCATATGTTCTATGGCACAGGAAAAAAAATATTTTTGATTTGTTTAAAAATTATTTTTTTCATTTTTAAAAATTAAATAGTTAGTAGATGTTGTTTGTTTTATCTCAATCAAGTTTTACTTTGATTATCAGTGCACCAGCAAACAACCCAAGGGTGATATTTGTCTCCCTCCCTCATCACTTTTTCAGAGTGATAAGCTAATAATAGTTTTAATATGGACTTACTATATGTGACTAGTTCGGTTTGTTGGGTTTTCTATTTTTTTGGACAAAAACCATAATATTTTACCTATGTTACGTATGTTGTTCTTATTTTTGATCAATTTTGACCTCAAATGTGTTTTCATATTTAAAAAAAAAGTATTAAGGAAAAAAAAGGTAGAAACATCTAAATTTTGAATTTGTTGAAATCAGAGGCAGTTGTATGTCTTTTCACATTAATGTCCTGCAACGATTTTAGAGCAAGATGTATTATTGATTAAAATGTGAATTCAATTCCTTTTTGTAGTGAATAACCTACAAGTGTCACCAGATTGCCATCAGCAAAGAATGATGAATTTCTATTTAAAAAAATCTGAATATTATTTTTTTTTATTCAAAATTTTCCAGCACAGTTATTCTAAATGGACTGCAAAATTTGATTTAAAAAAAAAAAAAAAACAATTCTCAAAAATTGATAGTGATAAATAAATAGGTGATTAGGTCAAGTAGATAAATATTACTAATACTACTCTTTGGAATGAATTATTCCACAGAATTAACAGAAAGTGTATCAATTTTCAATACGATTCCCATGCACATAAAATAAAATCATAATACAGGATCGCAGTATATGATCTTGTAATGTTACTTTATTTTTTGCAACATCTGAGTGCAAACAGTAATAATTAGTTGCTATGATAAGAATACAAAGACTGGCATACATTTTAAGGTAACTGTTGGTGATACTCTAGGATAGGGGTAGATAGATTCAACCAAGTAGGTCACCAGAAGCTGTTTACCGCGTTCACATGTCTTGGGTCGCTCGCAAGCGAACGATCGGCTCGCGAGCCGGGCCTTCATGTGAACAACCGCTCAAGAGCGGTTTTTGTCGTGGGTGACCCACGACAAGCCGCTCGCGAGCGGCTCTCGATGCAGCTCGCTCTTGATCCATGTGAACAGCCGCTTGCGAGCGGGTCGCCAGCGAGCTGTGACCTCTTTTGTGTGAAAGCCAATCAGATACAAGCATCTCCTCGGGGTCAAAGTAATGGAGAAGAGTGTGACTCCACGTTTCCTGGTTACCGGTTTCGCTGGGCTAAACAAACCTTGATCGTCCATTTTTTTTATTTTTTTTTGTTTCGCAGTGCACTGAGTTTTGTAGTACAGTAATTTGATATCGCTATTTCCGTAACTTACATTGTATAATCCAGTTTTATTTTGGGAAGACACTAATACTAAATAATCTATTTACCATATATCGTAAGTGCATCTTCATTTTCGAATCATAAGTTACAAAAATTATCATTTTAATATCTTCTGGAGCGTAGGTTTAGGGGACGTTGGTACACCGCCGATACGTACGTCATATCACTTAATTTTGTGTAGAAAAAATGTACGAGACGATATCCACGAGTAATATTACTTTTAAGTTAGTTGTTATGTAGTTAAGTAACTTTCAAGTCTACATAAATGGTAAATACCACGCCATTCGTAACTCTACTTCAGCCAACGTCAAGAGAGGCCTAGGCCTCGCTAGTAGAGGCCTGTAGTATTTCAGTGAGCATCCCTGTTGCGGTCGGCGGTGCGGTGCTAGCCCACTGTTCTTTTAATTAGGCCTAGCTGCAGCCAGATAGCTTTAGCCTGTATACGTAGTATTGAATTTTATCTCCTATTTTTCTAAATATACAGTTTAATATATTTATCATTATATTTTTCTGCAGATAGAGTAAGCAGTCAGCGCAGGGATTGTTTGTGTTCAGAAAATGGTCCAGTATTTTGTTTCTCAGATTGCAATCATCAGTGTCAGATGTAAACCATTTTAGATTCTCCTGAAGACCTAATGGAGAAAAAGGATGGATAAAGCCAGCCCGATTCAGATTAATGTTACAGTAGTACTTTTTTAACAATAAAATTATTCATGTGCCTAAAGGAGTGTTTAAGTAAACTTATTGATTTCTTTTTAGCGTTTGTATAAAATTAAACCAATCCAGTCTGGCACATGTACATGAAATAATGAACAAAGTTATAATAAACTATGGAATTTGTAAATTATTTTAAATACTGAATTTGTGTATTTCATCCTGCAACTGCACGATAGAGCGAGTTGATATTGCTTGATCATGGTGAGTGTCAATGAGCATACAGTATTAACATTGCTATTATTTACAGTATTTGATTGTGTGATGTATGATATGCTTGCATATACTAAGATTAAAAGGATTGCAGACAATTCATGAACTTGTTTGTAAATAAAATATATTTTTTTTACACTTTCAAAATACAGCACAGTAAATGCAAATGTTATTTTCACAAACATTATACATAGGCCTACACTATACCTGTATTAACGTCTACAGTTCAGCAATTGCGAGATACAGCGAGTTAAAATTGTTTGATATTGGGATGTGGCGATTAACATTTATGAAAACGTCAATCCTAAGTTTTAAAATAAAAATAAGCACATTACCCCTGTACTGACATTTCTTATTTTTGAAGTTGATAAATGGCATTGATATTGCTTGATTGGGTCAAGTGTCCTATTATTATTTATATATTTAAATCATATTATAAACGATAATTAAAATATGTGTAACATTACGGACTACTTTAATAGCTAAGCCTAATTAATGAATAGTGGGCTAGCATCGCACCCCCACCCGAACTGGGATGAGTAGTGAAATACAGGTCTCTTCAAACGAGACCTAGCCTAGACTTTGACTGGAATAGAGTTAAGAATGGCGTGGTATTTAGCATTTATGCAAACTTGAAAATCACTTAATATAACAACAATAAATCACATAATAACTAAGTTAAAAAATAATAACTCGTGGATATCGTATCGTACATATCTTCTACAAACATGATTTAAACTACGGCGGTGTACCCACGCCTAGGCCTACGATCGGAAAATTTTAAAATGCTAATTTTTATAACTTATGATTCGAAAATAAAGGTGAACTTACGATAGGCCTATATGATAAATAGATTATTTATTTCCAGTGCCTTTCCGGAATTAAATGGGGAAATGCAATATAAGTTACAGAAATGCGTTAAACTTGCCGGTTTACCACAGAATTGAGAACATCGGCGATCGCCCAAAAATGTCAGATGGGGACCGTTGGAAGATCGTCGATGCCACCTTCACCCAGGCCTAGGATCAGAAATCGCGGGCCTAGCATTTTGACAACCAATTGGGGATGTGACGTAAATCTATTTCCGGTCGCCTCGAAAGCGGTAGCGAACGCAGTTTGGACATTTTTTTTATCTAACACAATCTCGCTCACGACCCAGCATCTCAACCGCTCGCGATCGATGGAGACATGTGAACAAGACTGTTATCTGATGATACTACCTGTACATGAGTAATCTGAAGTGTCCAAGGACAAACAAGTATGATAGCCTGTTTTCAGAAGTGATTAATTAATTCTGTAGTAATTTGATGTTTATTTGCCTCTCGTCTTCATGCCAAAGTATTCTCTACTATCATAAAAACTGTTTATTAGAGCATAATTGACATAGATACTGAGTTTATTAGTTGGATGATGTGGGTATAAGTACTTTATTTTAATATTTTAATGTTGCATTTGATAGCAGGAAAAAGTATGTTACAAAATGTATAATTAATAAATTGAATATTCTAGTACAAATTTTATGAAGATAAGAAACGTAACAAAACATGGACAACGTGTTGCCTTGTGCTATTTTGCTTTACCTTCTTGTTGGCACTGTAATTAAAGCTTTGATGACTGATCGATAATGGGTTCACGATCAGCCTATGTGGGGAAAAAAAGTGAAAGTGTTTTTGGAACAAAATGACCCTTCCTATAATTGTTTTTCTTTGAATACACAATTAGATCAATGGAACGTTAAGAACAGTATTTGTTTTGATGTCCTAGATTCTCTATTGTCTCATCCTCTAAAGTAGGCTATTATTTGAAATTGCATCATAAACATTTAATGTTGGGAATGTCTTTGTCAGTTTAACATTAAAAATTTAAGTTTATTTTTTTTCTTTGATTTGGATACCACATTATCGTTGTCACAGATTAGGCTTTTGTATGTACAGTGAATTACAAAACTTATTAAATTATGAGGATGTACTATGTTTCCAATGTTTTTTTTTCAACATTTTAAATTAAGAAAGTAAAATAAGTAAAGCAATCCAATATGAAATGTAATGAGAAAAGGAACAACAAAATTTTAATTCAGCTTCAATGTCTGAAGGTGAATAAAAAAATTAACCTCATTTCCTGGTGAATTCTTTGCTAACACTTAAATGTTTATTTTTGTGAAAAACGATGCTGTTTTATTCTTCATTAGCATCAGTTCTTTTGAAACTAGTAGCCTCCTGCTGGGTAGAATTCAAGGTAAAGCAAGGACACACACTGTAGATGACTACTTCCCCCTCGTGGCTGACAAAAGCCTAGGCTGGCCACAAATGCAATTTATGCGTAAGCCTTGCCTAGATTTCGCCATTCATTCTCAATTACTTCCACTCGAAAAGTGCTAAGGGGAATTGTTCAGCTTTGTACGATCTGCCACCAATTTCTGAAAGCAATAAGCAATTATTTAATCGGTGACCATGCAGAAAGCTGTCGTAAGTAGTGCTAACAACATTATGGTGTACAGCAGATTTGGTTACACAGTCAGCAACATTTTAACCTGTGTATAAAGGTGCCCATTTACCTGTACAATGTGCATCATATAAAAGTGCAATCTACCTTTCAATCACTTTATTTCTGTACTTGGGAAATGCAATATGTCTATTTACAGAATTTGAAATTAATTATTTTTGTTTAAACTCTTACTTTTATATCAACCATCACTTCTCTAATCTGGTTCAGGGATGTCACCACGCTGGTCGGCGGTGGACGGGCCCGTCCAGCACTCAACATTTCCGACCAGGATTTACAGGCTCCCGACCACCACTATTATTTCAACAGTTTACAAATTGTAACAAAATAATTAGTTTACCTAAACACAATAGACAAGCTAAATTGATAGATAAAGACAAGAAGAATACAATAAAAAATGTTACAGTGGTTACGTTAATTGTAGCAAAATACTGCACTGCCCTGCTATTCATCGCTAACTGAACAGCCTAGGCCCAGTTGAGTCATAACGAACGTCGTGGGCCGGCATGACACGGTTGCTGTACACATTCAAAGGTTAAAGTTGAAATCGTGACCCTTCAAGTGTTTTATTATGAGAGCATGATCCGGGGCAGGAAGATTATTAAAAATTTACGAAACCTGATTTATGTTTTATTTCTTTACTTTGTTTTCATTTTGTATTTTAAGTTTTTCACTTAGTTATAATTGAAATATAATGTGTGTAAATGGACAAAAAATAAATAAATGAGTGCACATGAATCAGTGACATACGCATTCATCGTGGTATTGTCAAACATGTGAAATTACGGCAAACAATGTGGCTGGGTACAGTCGGATTGACGCTTTGTCGCCGGGATTTGTTCATTATTATTTTTTAATCTAAAACAAAGCATGTCAACTATTGAATTTAATTAGGCCTACAGTAAGTCTCATCTTCATCTGTTTTGTTGCATTCCTCAAATTCTGGCCTAGGCCTACCTGGGCCTAGCCTAAAAGAATCACGTCAGCTAGCCTTGGGCCTAGGCCTGCTTGACTTAGGCCTTTTGGTTTTTAAGAGCTTCCACGAATACAGCGACCAGCACCACCCCCTCCCCCGGGAAAACGCGGGATGATCGCCGACCGGCACTCCAAAAAGCTGGTGACATCCCTGCTGGTTATTACTAATTTACAAACATTAAGCCACTGTCCATACAATAATAATGGTAAATAAGAATAATTTTCATATGATAATTTTAATTATTCTGACCTTAACAATTATTAAGAATAGAAAGTATTTTACTTACAGACATTTCAATAGCAATAATTTCTAATACCAGTGATACTAATGATGGATTTATTGTTAGGTTTTTGTCATGTTATGGTACAAGTAAATACTAATAGGGCCTATACAATAATTTTTATCAAATAGTTGGTATGTTTTAAATGAATATTAAATTGTAATTCGTATTTTTGGCCATTTGCTATATTTTGTAAGGTTATTTTTTCAATTATTGGTGTACCAAAAACATATTGTTAATTTGCCATGCATGCAAACCTACAAACAAAACCACAATTGACAATTATAAGACATACATAAATATTACCCATGCTTTTTTTATATTTATAAACTCTTGACTTATTTGCTATTTAAGGATTTTTGTAGTAAATAATCTCTAACACTGTATAAATTTATTTTGTCTGTCATCGAAAGTTAGCCTTTTTAAATAATTATTTCAAGGCTTAACTGTATTTGCAAAGAGTTATCTGCATATATTATATCTTTTAATGTCCATTAATTAGGAATGAAGCTTTTATTAGTCATGAATAATAACTTTATTTTAATTTTCAGTTACTTTTTCAAATACTTCTTAATATTGGTCAACATTGGCCACATTAAAACTTCAGTTTCTCTTATGCTGAGATTGAGATGTTTTTATTATTGAAATTGTAGAGACAGGGAATGATAGTTTTTTTGTTGAAAGACAATCCATGTTCAAACTGTCTCAGTAATACAGCAATAGAATCGCATTAAATGAATATTTCTAAATTTCATTCTATGGCCTTGTGATATTTTGTGACGAATCGCATGCAGTAATCATAATTCTTATTATTAGAAAGTGACCTTCACATTGTACAGAAGTTAGAAGCAAGAATTATTAGATTTTAGTAAGTGCATAGCGAAAGCTCTCATGAGGCGGTTGATTCTTTTATATAACATTACGTGATGATTCTATATCGGTGCTGCGGATTAGGAATATTTATGGTGAGAGTATTTAATAGAATTATGAAAAACTGGTGTTGAGGCAGAAGAGGATATCGATTTGAAGGGCCGGGACTAGCACTGCAGGTGTCGTAGAATAAAAACGAGATTGACAATTGAAAGTGTGGCCTTGGAAAGATATCTCATGCATGATCGCCTCTGAATACTTGTCAAGGTCGTCGTAGCACATATAGTTA